GTCCATCCTGTCAGAACATCATCTGTTTGCCCGGAACAGCTTGCCCCAACTGAAAAAGGCCCATTCCTACCTCCCCAAGCCCCATTTTCTCAGAGAAACAGCCAAAAGTTGAGTTCCACCCCGTTTGTGGGGGATGCATCATGGTCTTTCCCCTATAGCTGGCCCTACTCCTCCCCTTCCAAACCCTGCCTTCTCAGAGAAACTGATGGAAGCCCAGTTCAGGGTAGTGTGGCCATCCAAGACCCCACCCAAAAATTTAGCATAGTAGGAACCCACCTTGGGACATGTCATCATCCCACCCAGGCCCCTGCAGGGTATTTAAATCATCCCCCCTTTAGAATGGCCACGTGACTTCAGCCCCTACTCCCTTTCCCAAGTCACCAGGTAGGGCTTTGCTCAGAGTAACCCTGGTCTTTTATTTTTAAATTAGTCTCTATTTAGCTTATGGTGTCAGTAGAGAAACCTCCTATTATTCACTATCTATGAATGAAGCTATGTGAGGAAAATTCCGAGAGCTTGTGAGAAACCTCCAAGAAAACCAGGGGAAACTTATGACCTCCGTCGCTGCTTTACATAGGCTGTTTTGCCGAATGCGCTTTCAGGCCCTCCCAGGTGTAGGAAATAGGAGTGGACTGGCTTCAGATTACCCATCATCTGCTATTACTGTTCAGATGATGTTTCCAGGCATGGGTTGCCCTTGTGACTACATGCAGCCTAAATTCAAGTGGACTTTGCTTATTTGACCTTGCTTAACACTCAGAATATAAATAGTCTGAGGCTCTGAATGCATGAGACTTTAGTCTCATTTTAAAGATCCAGTCTCCCAGATTCACAGTGCCAACTAGAACGGCAACATACCTAAACAGTGATGCGTGGGAATGAAGAGGAAGTTCATTCCGTTTGCAAGGAGAAAAACACTGGGATAAAGAACCGGAAAAGACGATGTAGACAATGACATATCTTTCTGGAGTTTTGTTTCTCTGTGCTCACTATACTATGTTCATTCTTTTAGTGCTCATGAGCACACACTGTAGATTTCACCTTGTTCTATACAATTTGCACACTAAAATAGGTGAATCAAGAACTTGTGTTTCTATGGGGGGAGAAAAGACACTGAACAATGAATTGTGACCATGCTGAGCTAAAATTATGATATGTGGTAGATGGCATAACTGAAAGGTTCTAAAACGGTCTCCTGTGAGGAAATAATATCTGAGCTAAACACTAAACGACAGCAGAAATTAATAAGGGATTGAGAGAAGAGCTTTTTTGGCAGAGCCACTGCACATAAATACTCCAAGGAGGGAAGGTCCTGAAGCTTTTATAACAATCCTGGTATAAGAGAAACTGTCTTCCGAGTCACTTTGTCCATCTGGAAGGAACCTAAGAACTCCCTTTATATTTAATGTTTAATAAAATATGGTGAATAGAACACTTAGATGGTGGGAGGTGGAAACTTCAAAACGACAGGAAGCAGGCTGCGATCTTCCTTAACTCCAAGCACTTATGCACTGAGCAGATTTGGAAGTGGGGGCTGGGAAGTGTAGGTAAGACAGACAGATGAACCCCTAGAGTGCCTGTGCCCTTTTTCAGAAAAGGGGGCTGGTGTACAGTCTTCTCTACGAGAGAGGTACGCATCAATAGCACAATCAGCATAAGTCACGTTTCATTTCAACTATGAAGATGCTCCATTACGATTTTGTATAATTTCATAACGAAAAGGTCTTGAATGTTGATTATTTCCCTTAACTACCTGTGGGTGCAAGGATTCAGGCATCATGCAGGCCTGCCTGTCACCTGGCAGAATGCACACAGGCAGTACTCTGGCCAGCTCAGGGCTCCATGACTATTAGTCTACAAGCAGGTGCAAAGGACCCCTTTAAAAGAAAGACCCCCTGCCCACTTATGCTCCCTTTTCCTCTCTCTTTCCTGCTGTTCTCCTGGGACAGGCAGGACTTTGTCTGTCTCCCTCTTCTCCTCTGTCCTCTCTCTGTCTCTGTGTCTCTTTACCTCTCTTATCTCCCCCTCCCCTTTCTAATAAAATTTCTCACTTAAGCTCTGTCTGCCTGGCATGTTTGTCCCTGCGCCTTGGTCAACCTCTTCCACCTTGGAATCTACCAAGGTTCCCCTTGAGCTTTCTCAGAACAGTGGGAATTTTGCTGGACACATTGATCGTGATCGTGGTTGGCTTTTCTTTTCTTTTCTTTTTTTTAATCCAAGAACAATGCTGAGGATTCATGACTACGCTCTGTTTTCTTACAAAGGGGAAAGCTGTTAGAAAGCAGGCACCGAGAGACTCAGCCTTGTGTGGAGATTTGCCCCTCTCAATGCCCTTCTCTCCCTTTTTATTTTACTACTTAGAATAAATAGATCTTTATATTTATCTATTTCCCCTTGGCTTGCTGAAGATGGGGTTTTGGACACACACTTTGCCCCTGAGCTCCATCGCCAGCAGTACCAGCCATGGAAATATTTAGAGGTCTCACGGTCATTAGTTAGCATGTACAGGAATTAGCTCTAGGAGAAAGGTCAGTCTATCAGTCCATCAGCTTTACATCTTGATTTCATGAGGCATGTAAATTATTAAAGCCTCAGCAGAGTCATACATCACTCCAAGGTTTAGGGAGTTTGGGAAAAAGTATTTGTTGAATCTCTGTTAGTACAACACAGGTTCTGGTTTCTGCCATTCTCTTTAGAGACAAACATGCTCTTATTCCAAGCAGGAATTGTTCAGTGTTAATTAGTATGCTATATATGAGTACCTCAGATTTGCTCAGGTGTTGCTTGAGGAAGTCACAGGATAGATTGTATTTCCCCAAAAGTCTAATATAGATATCTACATAATAATAGTCCCTTCTCCATATCAATTAATCACCAAGCTGCTTCCTAATGGAATTAGATTAATATGCACTTTTAGTTAGGATAAACACATCTTTCTGTGATATTCTTAGTTTGAAAAACTGAGGAGATAAATTCATAGGGACGAACATTTCCACTCACGAAGCTGAGGTACCTAGCTCTGCCCGCCTCCCATGTTGTTTGCCTTCTCACCCTGACTCCTCCAAGTGTCAGGGGCAGGCCGCCTTAGGTGATGCTTCATGCTTTTGTCTTTAACTTGAGAACACGAATACATATGGAAGGGTTTAAACAAAAGGACAAGATCAGGTTGAGAATTTTAAAAAGAACTACACCATGGTATAATTAACAGAAATTCAAGATACATGCTTAATAAAATTTGACATATAGGTGAGATTATTTTAACCTAGAAAATGCAGCAAAATAGAGACTTTTTGCAAAAAAAAACACATATCCAACAAATAACTTACCGAAAATATACAAGGAGTGGCTACAACACCACAGGAAAAATAAATCAACTTTAAAGTAGAGAAAGTATTTAAATAGTCACTATATCAAAAATATACGAAGTACAGAAAAGCACACGAGAAAAGTGCTCAGTGACCTCCGTTGAGGAAAATGCAGACTTGTATTTGAAAAGGTTGCTTGTTTCTCAGAGGAGCTGCAAGAACAGGGATGTAGCTGTTTCTATAGAATCCGGTAAAGCCAACAGTGCATTAAAATGCTGAACTCTGGGGAAGCAAAATGAGCCAGGCCTTCACATTGAGTGACATTTTTGAGCATAAACTATTAGAAACAGCTGGTAGATGTTTGGCTTGTTCCTTTGAACAGGTTGGTGGAACTATTCACACACGTTGTGCTAACAGGCACGGAGCCAGTTCAGGTGTTTATTATGATAAACAAGTGTAATGTACTCTCACCTAGCTAGCCTAGCAATGGGCTGTGTTCTGAGCTCTGTCTTCTATATATGCTGTAGAATTGCACATATGTACTTTACTGTGAACCAAGGCTTAAGCTGGTTTGGCAGGAAAGCAGGGATCGTCTTGTCAGACACCTGGCTCTTCCTCTCTCTCTGAGCTGCAGAAAGTAGTGTTTCATTAGGGTCTACATCTACAAAGCAGGAACCCTCTCAAGATGAAGAGGAAATTCGCAGAGCCCCTCTAACTCCTCTAGAACCTTCCAGGTACTCTGCCATTCTTTTGCTACACTGTGCTGGGACAAATTATAGGCAAAGCCCTCCACATCCCCACCACCCCATCCAGTTCCTGTCTCCCTACCTATGCTAGTATCACATTTAGGTAGATGTGGCCTCAGGAAACCAAAATGTCCTTTGAGATCTTACTAATGATTGTCCAGCTTTTCCACACCTACTCTTTAGGCCGCTCACGGAGGTGAATGAGAACACTCTCCTCTTTGTTTCCCTACCTCATTAGTGAATCTAAACCACACTTGAAGGTTCCTTTTCCATTCTGGTCCGCTTCTTACATTCTTAGAAAGAACTACGGGGATCTTTAAATTCACTGCGTTTGCATTGAGAGCAAGCCAGACTGTCAGGTTTTATTGATTCTCTGAGTAGGTTTCAAACAGCGTGCATCCAGGGAATGCATTTTCACCTATCCCCTGGGTCTTTTCACCGTTCGGCATATTCGGGTCTGCATTTTGCTCTCCGTGTAAACATAAGAAAAATAAAACACACCATTCAGGCTCCTTTGTCTGAGAACTCTGGCATTTCAGTGTGTGGTTTTTTTTTTCCTTTAAGGGGGTCTTCATTTGCAGCCAGCAAGCTCGTTAAGGAAATCAATGTGAATGTCTTATTGTCTTTCTCTTTTCTTTCCCCCCAGTTTGAGACTGCAGTTGCCAAGTTTTTTTCTCTGAACCTGAAACACCCTCTCATTGTCGGATCTCCACACTCCGGCCCTGCTGGCTTCCCATGGAGCTTTCTCAGGCCTCAGGACCGTGCCTTGAGGACTGGGAGGACTGTGACCTACTCTGCTAACCCAGTGGCCTGAGCAAATCACCAGGAGGATTGGAGCCATCTGCCCAGCCCCTCCCCCCGAGACAGCCTACAGGAAAGAGGGACAAGTTAGCTATTCAAATAATTGGCTCTTTGCCTGCTTCTTTTCCAAATAAGAAGGCAGGGGCTGCTGCTGAGGTGGCCAGTGTTTTGGGGAATTACAGTGGTGGTTAAGACCCGAGTTCCTCCAGCTCCTGCCAATTTTCGGCTGACTGTAAAGGCAAGGATGGTGGATGCCTTCTGTGCCACCTGGAAGCTGACGGACAGTCAGAATTTTGATGAGTACATGAAAGCTCTGGGTAGGTACAAATAAGACTTGTTGTTCCCTTTTTAACTATGTATTTTGATTCTTAGAAATTTACTTGCTAGGTTTCTGAGAGACACGCTGAGCATATTGTCATAATATGCTAGACTGTGAATAGAATAGCCCACTTCGATGAATTTTTAATGTGGCATTTTCTTATCTCTTTACCCAGAACCAAGTAAAGGGATGATTTGATAATCTATGGAAAGTGTGAAGCTTCTGCAACTTGGGGGAGGCTATTCAATATTCCTTTGTGTGTGTGTGTGTGTATGTGTGTGTGTGTGTGTGTGTGTGTGTGTGTGCGTGCGTGCGTGCGCGCGCACGCGCGCTCAGCTGTTCTGTGGCTAATGGACTAATCATTAATCAGGTTTGAATGGAACCTATGCTTTAGGATTCTGGATTCTCAGAGTGGCAAGCAGGTTTATGCTTCATCAACTGTTCTGGAAGTGGCTGTTAACTGCCCTGGCTGCTTTTGCTGTTTCAGGTGTGGGCTTTGCCACTAGGCAAGTAGGAAATGTGACCAAGCCAACGGTGATAATCAGCCAGGAAGGTGGCAAAGTGGTGATCAGGACCCAGTGCACATTCAAGAACACAGAGATCAGCTTCCAGCTGGGCGAAGAGTTTGAGGAAACCAGCATAGATGACAGGAACTGTAAGGTAAGAAGCCACTTTTCCCCGGGGATAGGGCTGGTAGGAGTGGGAGATGGGAGGGGATAGAGTCCCAGTCCCTCTGCTTTGGAGATGTGGAAAGGGAGATTTTAGAATTTCCTTTCCAGGAGAGGGAACCAGAGTTAGCATCCCAGCATTACACAAGTCGTACACTAGACACGGAGTGAATTCTGTCGCCAAAAAACCAGCCTGTTTTTCTCTTGTCCAACATTTTTTATACTTTATAGCGATTTTTGCCCAGAAAGTACCCAACAGTGTTTATTCCAAAGACCGCACCATGTTGCCTCTCTCTGAGCACCACAGATTGACCAACTAAGTAGTCAGCCTCCCCCCAAAGCTTTGCTTAAACAGGGAGAGTGAATAGTTCTGTGTTTTCATTTTGGATATAGACCATGTTTGCAGCTGGTGGTATACATTTCAGCCAAATTATCGGTGACCACATTTTTGGATAACAGTGAAGTAATAGAGTTCTGCTAGGTTATTGGTTGTGTACTCAATGATGGCACTCTCCAAAAGTCCTATCATTGGATGTTCGTGGCAAACCAACTTCTACCTGTTAATCATCTGCATTTTTGTTGTTGGTCTCAGTCTGTTGTTCGGCTGGATGGAGCCAAACTTATTCATGTCCAGAAATGGGATGGCAAAGAAACAGATTGTGTAAGAGAAATTAAAGATGGCAAAATGGTTGTGGTAAGTACTAACAGTCCTTCATTTTCTGTCCATACCCCCTTCTAGCCTTCTTTCTTTCTTCCTTTCCTCTCGCCTCCCCTGCCTGACTCTCTCTCCTTTTGCTCCCTTAATTCTTTCTTTCATATCAGGTGCCCATCAAGGACGCTTAGTAAATAAAAACAGGAGGAGCAAAGAGATCAGAACAGTTGTTGCCTCAGCATGACTTACATGTACTTTTAAAATTATACGTTAATTTAGCCAGACCTATGTGTCAAGAATTGCCATCACAGGATAGCTATGCATCTCCAACCTTCACCTGAAACTTAAATATAAAATATTGTTCAGGAAGATACATGAAGATAGCTGATACTAAAACATAAAGTAACTGAATCTCAGAGAAGTTACTCATATAGATATGGTCACAGGAGCATTTTAAACATTTTATATTCCAGTTTATAAAAGCTCAGTGCAAATAATTTAAAGTTTAACAAAAGGTGAAACTTTACTTTCTACTAGAACTGATTGATGTTACTTCCTTGAAGATTTTTTAATCTCAGCTGAATTTTAAATATATGTTCAATGATAGCTAGACATGTAAATGTTATAAAATAGAAAAAAATTATATAATTTCTCTAGTTGTAGAAGTTAAGCCTTCATCTAGACTTATAGAGACAATTTTTATTTTATTAAATTACCACTTTTTCATTTGTTTTACATGCTAACCAGTTCCCCCCCCTCCTCCACCCCTCCTTCCCATCTGCCTCCTACCCTACCCACTTCTCCTCCTCATCCCTTCAGAAAGGGTCAGACCTCCCATGGGCTTCAACAAAGCATGGCACATCAAGTTGCAGTATAACCAAGCTCTTACCCTATATCAAGGCCAGGACAAGTAATCCACTATGGGGAATAGGTTCCCAAAAGCCAAATAAGTGCCAGAGATAGGTCCTGATCCCACTGCTAGGGGCCATGCAAACAGACCAAGCTACACAACTGTCACACACATGCAGAGGGTCTAGGATGGTCCCATGCAGGCTCCCTAACTATTGGTCCAGAGACCATGAGTTCCCACCAACCCAGGTCAGCTGTCTATAGAGGTCATTTTAAAAATAGAAATTTTATTTAACTGTTATTTAGTTAGCTCCTTGCTCTTGGGGATGCCTAGGGTTTCTTTACAGACTCCTGCTAATAAGATCAGAAAGGGTCTTTGTTGTTGCTGTTATAGAACAGCTTACTCTCTTCTTTAATAGTACAGCCACAGCTTTTCTGAACTGAAATACACTTGCTTCTTCTCATATGTCTAAGACTGGAGGAGCAGAAAGCAGTGCTTTCTCTTGAATCAACTAAGGAAAGAGTTCATTTCTGACAATCATCCTGAAATGGTTGTTTATGATGTCACCTTCGTTTCTTGCCTACCTATAGAAACCTGGAGCATGCTCAACTTTGGGAACTATTGAGTAAGATCAGGCAAGACTGAATTCTGAAATGGAGATTAAAGCAAAGACAAGCTATATTCTGAGAATCATACCAGTGCTTTAAAGTCATGGGCACACGTCTTAATATTTTCAAGTGATTTTATAGTAATTCTTCAAGTTCGGAGTTAGACATCCAGCATTCAATGCCACTGCCAAATAACCACCTGGGTTAGGTCCAAATGGGCTAAACATGGCAGTCAAAGTAGAGAGAACACTGTATAGGTGTGTTGCTGATTTTAGAATAAATCGTTACAGATACCATGAGCTCAGATGTTTGTATTTTCTGAAGAAATCAATCAAGATTATGGATTGAAAACTGTTAATGAAAACGTATCACAAATCTAATTCCCTTCCAAAGCTGTTAGTTGAGGCCACAGTGAGACACCAGCATGTGCCTTCCTTGAATACAATTTGTTCTAGTGCCCTTAATAATTTCACACAAAAGGAGTTTTTAAAACTGTAATTTCAAGTGCCACCTCAGTTTCTGCTCCCTTTTCATTTTCATAAACCTGAACAATGTGAGCATGTTTCACTCATTAAATACTTAGTGTTTCTTTTTGTTTGGTTAGGAAACAAAGAGTACATGCACTGTTTAGTGGTTGTAAGTGTCTCTGTTCGTCAGGATCAACACTGAAGTCATATATATGACAATATTAAAAACTTCAGCAGTGAATTTTTCTGGGTAAAAGGATTCAATTATCTCTTGACTATTTCAGACTCTTACCTTTGGCGATGTTGTTGCTGTCCGCTGTTATGAAAAGGCATAGAAGAGATGATGGTTCTTTGGAAGTTCGGTTTGCTGGAGTCTCAGAGCTAGCCAGCTACGCAGCACTGGTCACTCTCAGACATTAGATAGTTGTCGTTGATGTGGAGGCAGGAAATTACAGTTTAAAGACATGTGACTCCAAGCAACTCATAGAACTTTGATATGCGAAGTTACCCTCTTTTATAATTTACTACAGTTTTGTAATAACTTTTTATAAGGATGGGATGATTTCCTTTGGAATGCAAACCCAAGTGGAATAAAAAGGATAAAATAAAAAGTTGGCTGTTGTTTTTAATGCCATCATTCTGTCTAGGAACTGTCTATTGCACAGTTTTCAAGAAAATAGCCTTTCTTATAGCATAAGCTAAGAATGGAAAAGTAATACCTTGTATAAAATACTCATTTATAAAATAACTGGGTGACCCAGACAATGTGAAGATGCCACATTTTTTGTGGCTTTGGTGAAGAAACTTGAATTAGTAAATCTGGTCAGGACCTAAGGAAGTTGGTTATAGTGAGTTAGACTACAAAAATGACCTTTTGCTGTTAAAAATACAGTGCAAAAGAAAAAATGATGGACTTCAAAATGTGATAAAAATAGATATAATCCAGTGGCATACAATTGTAATGCTATTTACCAAAGTTTTTGAGTAAAAACAACTAAAAATAAAAGTTGATTTTGCCCTCCATTCTTAGCATGAATCTTCAAGCACTTCACTACACTGATCTTTGCTAAATCAAGAGTGTTCAAATGAACTGGACATAGAGAATCCATGAAAGTGTCCAAATTCCTCTTTTTCCTGGGGTTGTGTGGAAGAGATGAGGGCAGTAGAGCTGACCAAAAGAAAACACGTATCTTCTTGTAGCTGGTTTGTATTTGTGATGTATATACAAACAAAGGTGACTTAATCATTTTCTCAGCCTGTGATGTAAAACCAGGCAGGGAATGCTGTATGCATTCTACCAATGGAATAAACTCAGGGTTGGAGTTGCCATGCTAAATTCTCATGACTAGCCAATAATACTGAGAACAGCAAACTTCAGTGTTTCCATTTATATCCTCTTGGAACTCAGTATCTCTGCTAAGTTTCCTTCTAAAACAAAATTGCAAGATTTTATTCTGCTTATTTCTTAGCCAGCCTTTCCTCTATTGGCTTTAGTATCTAAGTGTCTATGGGGGGCATAGTAAAATTTTTTTCAGAGAAATATATAATACTCAATTAAATGTAGCCTTGTGATTTCAGTACATTTTTATAAGTGAACTCAAGGTCAAAATATAAATGTGAGGAAATGTCCTTTAATTTATGTAGTTCACTACAATGAAGCCATTAGCTGATTGCTATAGGACAGGCTCAATATTCCTTACCCAAAATACTTACAACAAAAAGTGTTTTGCAGTTTATGATATACATGTACATAACAAGGTATCTTAGAAGTATGATCTAAACAAAATATTATGTATGTTTCATATGTACCTTTTTCACATACTTGAAGGTAATTTTGTTAAATATTTCAATGTACTTGAATTTTGACTAGAATCTGCCATTTAAGCTCAGGTATGGAATCTCCCTTTGGTGGTATCATGTCACTTTGGGACTCTGGAGCATTTTTAATTTCTAATTTATATATGAAAGATTCTCAATGTAGTCAGGCAGTGGCGGCATGTGTATTTAATCCCAGCCCTTGGGAGGCAGAGACATGTGGATCTCAGTGAGTTTGAGGCCAGCCTGGTCAACAAAATAAGTTCCAGGACAGCCAGGACTATTACACAGAAAAACCCTGCCTCGAAAATCAAAACAACAAAGCAAAACAAGAAATTTTCAATGTGCACTTTAAATAAAATACTTTATGATTTGTGTATTTGTGTGTGTGTGTGTGTGTGTGTGTGTGTGTGTGCCTGCATGTGTACCACATATATGGGTACCTGCAGAGGCCAGAAGAGGGTGCCAGATACCCTGGAGCTATAGTGGTTTGAACCACCAGACTTGGGTGTTGGGAAGCAAACCCTGGTTCTCTGGAAGAGAAAAAATATCTGTAAGCACTAAACTAGCTCTCTAGTCACTCAATATGTACTTTAATTTAGAGCACAAAAATATGAAATTAAGTGTTTAAATGTACAACTATTGTTAGCACCATGGCACACCTGGCCCCACCCCTTGGGGACCTGACAGAGTGTGTCACCCCTTTGTGCATGGCAGGCAGTACCCTGGTCTGCTGTGCAGTCCCCTTAAGGGGTGAGACTTCTACTCTTTCCTCTTCTTCTTCCTCCCCTGTCTGTCTCTCTCCCTCTCTCTCTCTCTTCCCAGGAGGTTGCTCTGTGCTCACTTTCTCTCTCCCTTCTCCCCTTCCTCTTCCCCCACCCCCTTTCCCTCCCCCAATAAAATGTCCCATGTAAGTTCTGTCCCTTACCTGCCATGGTTTGGACTCAACCTGCCAAGATCCCTCCCACACAGAATCACATAACAATTATTACTGTCAAGGTAAGACTTTCTATCTAAAGTCACTGGTCCTAGAGAGTCTAGTCTCTTTAAAAATACAAAGTAGGACTTTGAGGAGGTGTTCATTCCACATCTTTCCAGCCACTGTCTCCACTGCTGACTCTTGCTTTGGAAGCATGGACTCTGGCCTGCGGAACTAAGGGTGGGCTTTCTCTTCAGCTCACTGTAATATAGCTAACACATAGCTTATTTGTAATCATTTCCAAAACACTAAGGAATGGAAAGGTGTTTGGGTGGCTTGAGTGGGAAATAACATCACAATAGGCTAAAAAAATGTAGAGCTGCCATGGTGGGTGGCATGTATATTTATAGAAGTAGTATTAATAGATATTTCTGTTGTGCCCTAATTCAGAACCCCAAAATCACCAAGAGACCCATTCCAATGCAAAAGCAAAGAGTGTTTTATTATTCAATGAGTTAAATGTGTTAACTCGGGTCTTATGTCCCTCCAACATGGTGAGTGGGAGTGAGAAGGTCCCATGGGAGCTTCTAGGCAGGGAATTTATTGGGTAGAGCCAAGGGGGTTTGCAACAGTCTCAAGATTAGTACACTTCTGGGATTGTGCAACCTGTCCTTTGTTGATTGGTCAACTTGTTGCTATGGCCTATAAGCCCTCCCAGGAAGGCTGCATGGCACTGTTAGTCACTACCCCAAAGCACAGCCAGAGCCTGCCAGCTAACTTCTGATTGGTTCCTTGCCACGTGGATGATATCTGACTTCCTAGTCAGGCAAGGTCAGGAAGCTCAGCACATTTTGTTGAGTCAGCTGGGTCTTTTCTGCAGCCTGTCATGGCTGCCAAAGCAGGGGACTGGGTGAGGTTCTGGTCCCTTCATTTCTATTTCTTAAAATTTTTAAAGTAGTTGGAACTCACTTTTTTTCAACTCAAATTTTATCTCAGATAATAATCTGCAGATATATTAACTTTTCAGCCCCAGACCCACCCTTTACATTATTAAAGAATTTACCATGACCAAGAGCATTCTGATCAAGAGATTAAAGGAATGTCACTTTGAAAATTTCAAATTCCCAAACATAAAACCCAAGCTAAAAGCTGTTTTGTAAAATTCAATCATAGACCACTGTCCTAGTTAGCATTAGCTGTCAACTTGACACAGTTTAAGTTCACCTCAGAAAAGAGGCTCGATGGAGAGAATGCCAGGCCACACTGACCTGTAGAAATATATGTGGGGGTCTTGATTGTTAATAGATAGAGGAGGGCCCAGCCCACTGTGGGTGACTCATTCCCTGGGCTACTGGTCCTGGCCTCCATAAGAAAGCTAGCTAGGCACATGTCTGTATGAGAGTCAGTACCATTCCTTCAGTTTCTGCTGCAAGCTCCATCTTGAGTTTCTGCCCTCACTTCCCTTAATGATGGACTGTAATCTATAAAAGAAACCTTTACCTTCTGTGGTGTTTTGAATAAGAATGACCCTGGTGGGTTCCTAATGTTTGGCATGTGGCACTATTTAACAGGACTAGGAGGTGTGGCCTTGTTGAAGTAACAACACTGGGGGGTGGGGGTGGGTTTTGAGGTTTCAAAAGTCCAAGCCAGGCCCAGTGGTGCTCTCTTCCTATTGCCTTCATATCCAGATGTGGAACTCTCAGCTGCTTCTTTAGCACCATGACTGCCTGCATGCCGCCATGCTCTCCACCTTGATGAGAATGGACTGAACCTCTGAAACTGTAAGCCAGCCCCAGTTAAATGCTTTCATTTGTAAGAGTTGCTGTGGTCGTGGTTTCCATCCACAGCAAGAGAACACTAAGTCACCTTCCATGAACTCTTTTGGTTGAGTGTTTCTTCTTGGCAACAGAGATGAAACTAACAACCACTGGCAGTCAGTCATCAGTATTCTTTCTTTTTGCCTTTATCTCCCATTTTCCCCTGGTTTACATGAACAGGAATGCTTGGGGCCTGGAGACTTACTGATGTAGGCTTCCATTGCTTGTACAGCCACATGTGGGACACTGGAGACAAGCAGTGAACTTCTTATTGACTAGAAAGGAAAACAACACAAAGTGAAGTAGATTTTAGAATTTCAAACATTTCAAAGATTTCACAATGTGTGCTGCATTTATACTGCTTCTTCCTGTTTTTGTTTTGGTTTTTTAAGACCTGGTTTTTCTCTCTGTAACAGCTCTGGCTCTGACTTTCTTGGAACTCACTCTGTAGACCGAGGCTGGCATCCAACTCACAGAGATCCACCTGCTTCTGCTTTCCCAAGTACTGGTATTAAAGATGTGTAGCACCATCAGCTAGCTTGCATTTTGCTTCTTAACTTAAAAAGTTATTTCACACCCGTTTACTTCCTGTAAAATGTCTTAGAAATTGAAAACAAAACATAACAAAAAGCGTGTGACCAGGCAAGGCAGCGCAGAGGTTTTCATCTTGCATTCTTGCAGAGGCCATTTCAGGTTTAACTAGAATTTGATCTCCTTCCTGGAGAATCCAGTGAAAATTTACCCAGCTCTATTTTAGGACCTGAGGCCAAGATGCCCCAGCTAATTTATCTTAGCTTCTCTTAAACCTACCCCTGTAGCTACAAAGTGAGATGCCAGGATATGGTCTTTGTCTTTAAAAGATTCTTGCTCTAAATGTTCTGGTCTACACTTAAAACCTGAATACCTAGCTGGGTGGTGTTGGTGCACGCCTTTAATCCCAGTCAGTAGGCAAAGGCAGGTGGATCTCTGTGAGTTCGAGGCCAGCCTGGTTTACCGAGCAAGTTCCAGGACAACCTCAAAAGCAATACAGAGAAATCCTGTCTCGAAAAACCAAAAAAAA